ATTAACGCTATGAATCACTGCATTTATATTTTCACTCTGTAGTGATGCAGGAATAGAATCTGCATTACTAATTTTAAAACACCATCCTGATTCAGTCAGAAGTTTCTGCTGAAGTTCTGTTTAGTTTCTTGCTTTTTCATCTCTATGGACCTGGAAATAACTCTCATTCTCACTTCTTTATTTTCTTATTTTCTTTTAATATGTCATGTCTGACAATGTGCTGCTCAGAATTGTTGTCTCAGCTGAGTGTCATTAAGAAACCTATTTCTTACCAACTGTAACTCTCAGGAAAACATTTGTTTGTGAACCATACACACTAAGTCCTAAGTCTCACCCCTGAATAATAATATTTTACAAAGCAAGGACTCTTGCATATAAATATCTTTATTTTTCACCTCACAAATGTGTGTGGATGTGTGCATCAATCACGAGTACTGTGACAGTGTTATTGTCACAAATCAACATATTAGCCTTCTTTGAAGTTAGCTAATACTAGTTATCTAACTAACTAGCTAACATTACCGCCTATACTTTATTGTGTGCGTGTATTATTTGTGTGTACGTATCTGCATGTGTTTCTGTGTGTGTCTGACACCCTGGACAGAAAAACCAAAAGAGAAAATGTGTTGAATGACATGCAATACTTGTTGATCAATGTGTTCAAGGTTCTTTCTTTTATCATTTCAATAAATAAAATAAAAATTCAAAGCTATATAAATAAATGAATAAATGTAAATGAGACGGAAAAGAATAGAGTGCCTTATCTGGGTTGGAGAGCATGTCCTGCCCCAAGTGGATCTGGAGATCGACAGGCGGATTGGTGCAGCATCTGCAATGAATCAGATGCTGTACCAGTCTGTCGTGGTGAAGAAAGAGCTGAGCCAAAGAGCGAAGCTCTTGATTTACCAGTCGATCTATGTTCCCACCCTCTTCTATGGTCATGAGCTTTGGGTCATGTCCGAAGGAATAAGGTGACGGATACAAGCGGCCGAAATTAGTTTTGTCTGGGCTCTCCCTTAGAGATAGGAAGCTTGGATATCCAGGTTAGAATGCCTCCAAGAGGCCTCTCTGGTGAGATGTTCCGGGCCACCAGGAGGAGGCCCTGGGAAAAACACACTGGAGGGACTATGTTTTCTCAACTGGCCTGGGAACTTCTTGGGATTCCCCCAGAGGAGCTGGAACAAATGGCTGGGGAGAGAGAAGTCTGGGTCTCCCTACTTAGGCTCTTACCCATGGGCTCTGACTTTGGATAAAAGGAAGAAGATGGATGGATGAATGGACACACATACATACACTCACATGCATGATACACATAGCATAATAGAATACAGACAGTTCTACAAGTACTGTGTTACCTGGAAAATCAAGTTACTAATGTAAGCTAGCTTGGTTAGCTAGCTAGTTTCCAGAAACACTCTTTCGCACCCCCCCATGCCCACTCACACACCCAGACACACATAATGGATGTTGCCACTGTCCTTTATTGACATTTTATCATTGCTAAAATGTTGTAAAATTGCTGTTGTCATTTTGTTTTAAAAATGTTCTACAAATTGTTCTAAAAACATTTATAAAAGTGAAAATTTTTAATATTTAAAACATAAAATAATACTTGTGTGAAATGAAACGCAGTAGAAAGTATGATACAAAACCTTATTTTCAATCAAAATAATAAAAGTAGCAAAAAGCACACTCATCGTTATCTGGGTCAAAAAGACCCATTCATGGAAGTCACTCACGCATCAGAGGGTTAAGTAACTATGACTTGGCTGAGATCCCTCTAACATCTATATTTTGAGCCTGATTTTTGTGAAATGTTGCTAGAACTGCAAGATATCTCTGTGCCCTCACAGGGTGGGATTCAACTTGGTTTTGAAGCTGAGCTGGTTGCATTATGCAGGCGTCAAAGTAACTTGATCCCTTCTAATGACAGGTGTGCTACTGACATGTGTTAAGTGAAAGAGGAGAGGGGTGGAAAGGTTTATGCACATGCAAGAGCGAAGGGAAGCTGGAAGACATTTCGCTATCATCTGTTGTGTCTGTAGTTTTATTTATAAAATGTGGCCAAGTTCTTCCGGAGAATTGCATAATTAATCAGATGCTTGACATTTCATTTCAAGTTAACATCTTTTCATATTTAGCTATAGGCTTTAATATACCTTACAGGAAGGAGTTTTTGATCCTTATAGATGGAATTAGATGAATGATGAGAAGTGTTTATAAGAGATTATAGTAAACAAAAAGCTCCATGTGTGACTGCAGCGAATTGATGGGCTCGGTTCTCACCCTCTGGTTATTTGATTGCTCATTACTTTGTCATCCTTGTGAGGTCAGGTGAATGTGGCTCCATCTGGGGAAGCAAACTGATGTATTTAGATGATAGATACCATTGGGAATGAATTGAATTACTTTGCAGGTGAGTTTATTTTTTGGCCACCTGTGTCATCTTGGCAAAGCAGCAAAGCGCAAGCAAACTAAATTCCTCCAAACTACCAGAGGCATCTCATAAGTGTTTGAATCCTAACACATTTCATAGAGTACATCATTTTGTATTTGTTTATGGGGAATGAGACTGTTATAAAATTTTATTTGATAGTTTCATCATAGATGCAGTAAATAACTTAGACTTGTTTAATATTTGTTGCAAGATTTCAGCAAATTGCAAGATTTTTTTTAAAAGGTGTGTTAATGTAGTTATAATCTGATGCAGCAAGTTTAATTTGTTCTTTGTCTTTGAGCTCAATTTGTCCACAAATACATCTCAGTAAATCATAACCGATCAATAGTTATGTTCTAAACAGAAAGAGAGGCCCCAAATCAAATTCTGGTATAGGTCTTTAATGACCTAAAGTAGGGGCCAATCCTACTTATGTGGGCTTTTCAGAAGCTTAAGAGTTTTTCCATTGAATCAGGTGGTCTTTATTTTACTGTTTTGTCAGTCATTATTTCCAGTAGCAAGGTTGCCACACAGTTTTATGGGGCTTGTGGTGTCTCTAGTAAGGACAATTGTGCAGTGTTGTGGGTTATTTCTGGGGATTTTGCTGCTGGAATTTGGTTCTTAGTAGCCGTTGGGGTTTTGCTGGTAAAAACCGTATGTTTTTACCAGCTCTCCTCAAAACTCGGGTAGAGAACATGTTGTGCTGCTGCATGCCATAAGGTGCAGTTCGGGTTTCTTGCATGGAATGGGGCTTCATGCATGATGTGTGTGATGGTTGTGGGTACGTGGTTGGGTGTTAGCGTTCTGAGTTGGGGCTTTGTTAGTGGGAGCAATTTTTTCCTTCTCCTTTTGCAGGATTCCTCTACTGTGATGGGTGTCGATCATCAAATCATTTTGAGAGGGAGTTCTCTTGTTGCTTTTCAGTTTGATTGTCACAGTCGGTTTCTGTGTTGTTTTAGTTTTTGGATTTTTAAGTGGTTTGCCTGTTGGTGTTTCTGGATTGCTGATTGGGGGAAGATTATATGATGCCTGGACTGTTCTTTGGCCTCTGTGAGGCACAGGTTATGTGAAAGAGTCTGATTTGTTTGATGTGATGTCATTTCTTTGTCACCATTTTTCTCTTTTATTTTTTTCACGGCCTGTCTTTGTTGGAGTGACAAAATGTGGGTTATTGTTCTGTTAACTGAATTTTTGACATTTTTCCCCTCTTGTAGAACAAGAAGGGGAAAACAACAGAACTCATGCCTGCATAAATTGGCAGGAGAGAATGTAATTTATTTTTTTAAGGTTTTCTCATAGTCACATTTGTTAAGTCATCTTGTTTATATTTTTTATAGATCTAATTAAAATTGCTTCTTTGCAAACTTGTCTTCTATAATTTGACACAAATCCTGTTTATGTTTAGTATAGCCTCTTTTAAATATCTTAATGTAAACTGAAGGGTAATGAGTTTTGATTTTGCAAAATATATTGCAAAAAGTCAATATATTTTGCTGCAATTACAGCAACAAAATGTTTGAGGCCGCACAGCAATAAACCTTTTCTTAACGTTTAAGCAGAAGAGCCATACTTCAGTCATACTGGCTGGAGACCATCAGAACACATCGATTTTAAAACCTTGCAGCAGATTCTCCATTGCATTAAGGTCTGAGCTATTCTGACTGAAATAATGGTGTTTGTATCATGGTCCAGGGTTACTTTTTATTAAATTTCTCAATAATGCTAGTCCAGATTTAGCCAGTGTGTTCCTTTGTTTCCATTGTTTGTTCACTGTTTTCTAACAAATATCTGAGGCCTTCACAGAACAGCTGGATTCAGACTGAGGATAAATTAAATTCAAGATACTAAATACACTGTAAATCCGGGATTTATGCTTGGAAAACAATCTAATAAAAATGATATCAACATATGTCCCATTTTACTATACTGTATTACTTTGTGATGGATTCCATAAAGTGAGGGTTGTAGTTAGGTGAAAAAATGTGGAAACGTTCAAGGAATATGAATACTTTTGAAGGCACTGAGGTTATGTCACATTTTTAACTATATAAAAAACAAAATAAAAAAAAAAAACATGTCAACTCATGCAGACCATTTTAAAACTCAAATAGTTGTTATGTTGCCACACTAAAATTTACATTTCATTGAACTTGCTTATAACCATAGACTGCAATGCCAACAACTCACAAAATTAGGTTGGAATTGTATAACATATTAAACTGAAGTAAAGTATAGAAACACGTCAGGATAACTAATTGAGGTATAGTGTAGGCATGTATCCTCCATTGGCTCCATGTTATTACATGAATTTATTATTCTTACATTGTCCATCCTGTATTAGGTTGTTTCACATGTTCCAATTTGAGCATTATGCACTGCAGGTTTACTGCGTTTTCCCCTAAAACCAAACTGAAACTAAATGAACCCACAGCATCCAGACGCGCCTTCGTGTCTGTGCGCACGCTCCTTGTGCCTTTAAAGGGCGCGCGCCGGCGCTGAGTGGAGGGCGGACCCTTTTTGCCGCGCGCGTGCGTGACAGCGTGTGCGCGCCTCTTGCCCGCAGCCGCTGAGAGTGGCACAGAGCAAACAACGGCTTTTGTGCGCATGATGCACCGTGTTGGACGCACCTGCGAGGAGCGATAAAGGCAGCCCGGAGACGGCGCTGCTTCGAACTGGATTCTGGATATTTTTGTAAAAGCAAAACAAAGGGGGCAAAGTGGGTCCGTGTACACTGGCAGCTGGATATTAGCAGGTGGATACTTTTGGTCTGCTGATCTGAGGTCAGTAACGCCGTCTGTGTAAGTTCAACCTGTTCATGTTAGTGTCCACCTTCAGAATGAGTGTTAGGGGAACAGAAGCAGGAGGGGAGAGGAGGCAGGGAAGGTTCGAGTTTCAGGTCCTGGTGGACAGGTATCACAGGACTTTTACAAGTTTTTTTTTTTTTTTTTTTCCTTTTTTCCGGTTTTTGCGCACGGACTCGGCGGATGTCTGTGGGTCTCCTTGAAGGAATCGCGACATTTTGGGGGTTCAAACAAAAAAATTCTGCCATGTTGGCCACTAATGTCACTTTGATAGGCAAGAGTAGAATTACACACCTCTGCGCTGCCCGTCTGGTTACGATAAAAAATATGAATTTTATTATTTTGATCATAACATGCCTCAAACACCGCGAGCCTTGAAATGGGCCCTATGGTTGTAAACATGGGTTTGGAGCCAGAATGGAGTAAAAACTGAAAAGATAAAAAGAGGATTTACTTCACCCTGTTTAAGCCTGATGAATTATAAATCATATGCGCGCAAAGTGTCCAGTTCCATGCACGCATTGTTTTCACGCATTGTTCTCGGCTGCAGTCGCGTGTTGAAATGTCACGCACGCTCTCGGGGGGCTCTTTAAATATTGATGCACATTTTCTTGTAATTCGAGCAGCTTTTCTGTTTTGGTGCATGACCTTGCGTTTGCGCGGAGATGGACAGCAGTGACCGTTGCATTCCTCCATCACCCTCCTGTTGGGGATCGAGTGGGGGGTAAAAAAAAAAAAAAGAGAGAGAGGGGAAAAAAGCACGCAGCCGGCGTTTTCTTTTTCACATTCATCAGCTCAAATTAACAAAAAATAATCACATTTTGAAGATATAATTTAGACACGTGATATTTCACGACTAACATGAATGTAAAAACATCCCAAATTTGCTCCTCTCAGACTCATAATTGTCGAACAAAACTGGAGCAATCCTGTCGCTTCCCGACGCAAAATCAGGGGCACAAATTAAGGAAGAGAAATTATGAAATATTCTGATGAATCGGGATAATTCGGGCTCCCCAGCGGATCAAATGGCATCTGCAGAAGGGCTTCGCTGAAATGCTTTTCCTGAAACGCATTTCATGCTGCACCTTCTTAAGCTGACAGCTTTCCGTTTTACTTCATCTTGAATTAACGTTTTAGCTCAAGTCCTGCAGCTTTCATCTGTGTCACCTCCACTGCGACGGATGGGGCGAGATGTCCCATTTGTAGGGAGAACGTTTAGCGTTTATTTTATTTTATTTTATTTTTTATTGCAGTTAAATGCGAGGCCCTGCATTCAATGAGCCCAATGAACGAAACGGGGAATAATATTCTAGTAATAATAATAATAATAACAATAAAAAAACAGGCCTGAATCTTTTCTCTGCCTCCCTAAAATCATCTCCAGGCTGAACGTTTTTACGTTCAGGTTCACCAAAAAAAGGGCGGGTTTTCTTTTTCTCTCCTTCATAGCTGCAGAGAGTTAACAGGATTAAAAAATGATTCCTGTGCGTTTATGTATGCATAGATGGATGCATGCAGAGGGAATTCCTAATCGGGATTTTTTTTTCTTCCCTCTTTCCAAACCGCCTACAGAATGGGCGTGACCCGTGTGCCAGAATTTATTTATTTATTTGTTTATTTTTCTAAAGGCCTGAAGATGTTCCTTCACCTGATGGGACTTTTTTTTTTTTTACATACACAGGCTCATATGAGCCAATTTTGAAATTATATAAAATAAATAAAACAATAATAAAACAATAAAAAATCCGATTTAAAGATATCAGATTTCTATCAAATAAATGAGCAAGAACAGATTCCTGCGTTTCCATTTTAACTCTGCTTGTCTTAGAATTAAGGTCAGGTGGAGCAGCAGGATGAACGTTCTTTTTCCCTTTATTTTTGATCATTTAAGCTTTTCAGATTGTATTTCCCATGCTTGACAGTTGATTAACTGCTCTAACAAATCAGCCGCAAAAAGCCAAGGGCTCTCAAGGTAACACTAATTCCTCTGGGCGGGGACAGACTGATACTACGCAGGATTTTTGGAGAATGCTCTTTTCTTTCTCCCCGTGTCTCAGACTTGAGTGTGGGAAAGTGCGCGGCCCTGCGGTGCATTAAATGTTTCCCACTCTGGATTTATCTTATTAAAATTAGACAGAAACTGTTCTACTCCATTTACGCTATATATATTTTTTAATTTTAATTATTTGCAATAACTAAAATTGTGAGAATGTCTCGTGATGTTGCATAAACCGCTGCTGCTGCTGTAGCTGGTGGGAGGTTGTTGACCAGAAACGTGTGCGGATTTAACTCGTGCGTGTGCAAAATTGTTTTTGCGCGCCTCCAGTCGTTTGTAGAAGAGTTCGGTCGTTGTAGTGTTGTGGTGGGAGCAATTATCCACGTTGAGCGTGCATGTGCAGATGTTGTAAACGCATGCTCGTGCGCGTGGGTTCGAGGTGTCTGTGATGATGTAATGCCATGAAGGGTGCTGCAGCCCGGAGAAGGTGTGTCCTGCCTGCTGAGGAGCTGGTGAACATCACGGTGCCCACGCTGCATCGCAATCATACACACGCACGCACGCACACTTACACACATCCACGCAGTCCCTCCCCCTCACATTTGCATGTCTGTCATTAGGACCTTTTTTGTTTTGTTCTTTCTTTAAACGAACAGCTGATTTTTTTTCACCCACCATTATAGGAATCTACACAAACGACGCATTAAAACACAAATTATATAATTTTCAATTTTGTTGGATGTATTTAATCAGTATTTGATTTTGCGTCCAGACTGATATTTAATTTTTTGGGAGGCAGGTGGCAGGAGGGTTCAGTAAACTGAGCTTTTAAAAAAAATCTTATGTAATTATTCTATCAAATCATATCCATTCCAGCAATTTACAGGACATTTACCAAATTATATTTTCAGGAGAATGTCTCCATTATAGTCCTTTAGACATATGATCCACCAAAACAGACCCCCTACCCCAAACCCCCAATTTGAGAAATGCTTGTTTAAAAAAAAAAAAAAAATAAATAATGTGATACCATCATTCTGCTAAGCTGAAAAAAAAGTCAATACTTAATTAGAAAAAAACTGTTGAAATATAAAATACAATCATGTCCTGGTTAAAATGAGAGCCAAGAAAAAAACATAACATACACATAAAAATTACACATTATATAACAAAGAGGCCAATGAAAAACTAATCATTTTTATAAATGTGTGCAATGACATGTTCTTGGTCCAGACAGGAGATAAGTTCCTTTAGATTCAGCTGAAAGCCTTCACCCCCCCCTCATTTAAAGACATTAGCACAGACATAGTAATACAAAACCAAATATCAAAAAATATGTTTTAAAAAACAGATTTTGGAAGACAAAGATAACAATGATAGTGAATCTTATTTATGTTCATTTTGTTTTGCAGATGAGTGCAATAAAGAGCATATTTTTAGAGATGCATTGGTCATATCTTAACTGGCTGATATCAGTTTCTGTTTTAAATCACATCTGCCAATTCCAATTTTGACCGATTCGGATATTTTTCCTAACACAACAAAAAACACAAGAAAGGGCCAAAATCTACTAGTTTGAAGGTCAACAGAAAATAAAGGAACAACAATGTTATCCCAAAAAACATGAATCAGACCATATGGCCTTTACCTTTATTTGATTTGTCTTAAACTTAGAAAGTGGATTCAACTCTCTCCTTTGGGTTTTGTATGTAATAACTTAGTAATAGAGCAAACATTATATTATATGAAAATAATATTTGAACAAGCTCCAAAACCGTACAAAAGTAAATGTGAAATCATGCATCTTTCACTAAACGTATATCAGAAAATTATTCAATAAGCAGTCATTTTGACAGTCTGATTTACTTTATTTTTTTTGCAAGAATGTGGAAATAGTTGTAGAGATTTTTTTTTATTTCATTTTGAACATTTTGTCTCCAACAGAAAATTAATGAAATGAAAAATGATGGAAGCATGTACTCCTAACTATGATCTAATGTTTACTAAATGCCAATCATCAAAACAAATGTTATTACCTCATTGGTTTAATAACTAAAAATAGTGGAGTTTTTCATTTATTTATTGAACAAGAGAAAAAAAAACAAACAAATTTGACATTTTGTTTAAAGTTTTCTTTTGTTGTTTTGCATCCATTTTTGTGTCTAATAAACTAACATAATGCTTGAACATAAAATTATTGAAATCGAATTAAAACAGTTATCTGGCAATACACAAGTTCAAATTTGTTAAGAAAATTCAGATAAGAGCTCTGATTTAAATCAAATGAAAAGATCCAAACTGCAAATGTCTGGGTATAAATATAAGCAGATATTTGCTATCTTACTCTTGAATTTTGTTGTATTCTTAGAAAAATACCTCAACTCCTCCTCACTCTGAGAAGATTGTTCCAACCCTCTTGACTTGACTTTAATCTTAATTCAGAAACTTTGCTGACAAGATGCATTAATTTGTGTTTACTCAGATCCAATGTTCTTCTTCTAAATAGATTATTGGCTGCAATCTGAGGCTCAAAACTTATACATCTAAGTTTGGGAGTGGTTTGAGGTGGGTGGTTCTAAGTATGACTAATGTTTGAGAACCTCTAATGTCTAAATATTTACTCTGAAGCATACATTCAGAACAAAACCCACTCCCCTCCACTGCTCCCACCACTTACCCAATTGAATCCCACCATTTGTCCTGATTTTCACAGTCAGGTTTTTTAATTGGGTTATTATTTTTCATGATTTATTTGGGGATAGTTAGAAATCTCAAACACCAAAAAAAAAAAAAAAAAAAACATTTTGAAGATTTTATTTTATACATTTGATGCAGATTTTTTTTCAGGAAAAAAATTCAAAGGCTTATTTCAGATTTTGTTCCATCTTCTCATGAAGAGGATCAATATGTAGGTTTTCTTTTGGACTAAATGATCCAGCACATCACTGTGGAGAATGGTAAAAATGCAGGCCACCTCTTC